AACTCTATCCCCCAGTGCCTTCGCCTTGCTTCCTCCCTTTCCTCCTTCAAGGCCGGTCTCAAGACCTTTCTCTTTGACCGTGCCTTCAGCTCCCCTCTCGACTCTCTACCCCTTCCTCGCTCCTTCCCATCCCTCCCCTCACCCTGACCATTTCCCCCCTGCTTGGGTCCTGACCCAACTGTACATGGCCTTGGGACGTCCTCCCGACGTGAAAGGCGCTCTATAAATGGAATCTTGTTGTTGTTGTTGTTTGTACTGATCTTAGAAACAGAGTTGAGCTCACACTTGTTGATGCTGTTGATGTTTCTGTTTGCTATAGGTCTGTGACAATACATTAATTAGCATCAGTAACTGAAATCTAATGCTGGTGCTATTCTGTGTATTTATTTAATCATGTTTATATCTTGATGAATGATGCATTTTATTTGTTGTTCAGGATGTTGGGTAGCCCTGATGAAGATTATAGGAAGTGAACTTCCTGCTAGTTGTTTAACAGTCCTTCTCTCCGAATGATTATTAGAAAGCTTACAACAACAACTTGTATTTGTATAACGCCCCTCACGCACGGTACCATCCCAGAGCGCTTGACAGTGGCAGAACATAAAGCTGAGGCGGGGGGAGGGGAGGTGACCGTAGGCAAGGTCGAATAGGTTTTCAGATGCGACCTGAAGATGGGGAAGGAGGGCCAAGGCAGAGGAATAGAGGAAGAGTGTTCCAGAGTTTTGGGGCGTAGTGGCTGAAACCAATGTTGGAAGGTAAGGCACAGGGGATATGCAGGCTGGAGCCAGTCGAGCGGCAACAGTGGGTTTTTGTTCTGTTCTTTTTGCGAAATGCAGAGAGAGAAGTTGAGAAGACTGTTATTTTCTAAATTAATCCTTGAAAAAATCAAGGTGGTTGGCACAGCAGAAGATGTCCTGTGAAGATCTTACTGCCATGCTGAAGGCAGCCAATTTGCAGCAGCCAGTTTGCACAGTTTGCAATGTCTTAATAAACAGCCATGAAGTGAATGATCAGTTTTATTTGGGAAATTATTAGCCAGGCTATCTGGAGAAACTCCTTTCTCTTTTTGAATAGTGCCACCTGAACAGGCCAACCGATCCTCAGTTTAATAGCTCATCTTAAGGATGGCACCTCCAACAGTTCAGGACTCCCCCAACATTGCATTGGAGCATCAGCCTAGACTATTTGAGTTCAAAGTCCCAACGTGAGGCTTGAACTCACAATATTCTGTCACAGAGGCAAGAGTGCTTCCAACTAAACCAAACTGATATCAATTTTTTATTTTTAAGATATGTCATCAATTAGCATAACAGCTGTGAAGACTGAGCAAGAAAGCTTGCAGCTGAAATGTATTGTAGATGCTAACCCTTCACCTATACATTATAATTGGATAAGGTGAGCAAATGTCTCTTACCTGTGCTGACTATAAGCGTAATTCGAAGGAAGACTTGTTTTGGTCAGGGTGTTTCTGATACATACAGAAACCTGTGAACACGCTTCAGAGTACACAAACCAAACAGAGCTCCATGCATTTGTGGTAAAGAGGAATTCAACGGAATGTTTTTTTACCTTTTAGCTAAGTGTTTCTGAATATTTAGCAGAAACTTATTGGTGCCAAGGAGATGTGCGTGTTTAATGACAGAGTGAGGTTCTGGAAGAGAAGGTTCTGAGCTAACACACCATCTCTCCCAGAACATCCTAAAGCTAGTTTATAATTTCAACAACTCCAAAAGACTTCACACATAATTTTCTATCTGGTATGAATATTTTGGATGAATGTACAGTGATTCAAAATTACTTTATTGGGTTCAAGAAAAATAACATTAAGGAATGAAAATAGTTTGACTTGAGTATACTTGAGAAAGAAATCTGGATGGTTTTCATTCAATATTTTTACCCAGCAATTGGAGATTGTGCACGGACTGTTAACTCAGGTTTTCCTTTCCATTTATTTGTTTTGTGATATTTCCTATCTTTATTATTGTCCGAATATGTTTTTCATTAGTTGACATATTCAGCGGCCTTGAGTCTGTCCAACACTGTGATCTATTATTTTTATCAACTGATCAAAGGCAAATGTCACATTCCAACATTGAAATATCAAGAGAGACTGGGAGAGATTGAGAGATCTACCCGCTAACTATTGAAATATCCAACCATTTATCTTGTGTTGCAATGTGTATATTATTGTTTTTGGTCAGTCTGGTATCTGACATACGCAAAAACCCAACCCCAAAGAATAACTGGATTCACTGACAAAAAAATACACAGTCACAATACTTTACAATAAATTTTCTTCGAAACTTTGTCCCAATACTATATCAAGATCATCCAGAACTCTGCAGCTCGTGTCCTGTCCCACACCAGGCTCCATGAATCTATCACTCCAACCGTTGCCCGGCTCCACTGGCTCCCCATTACTTAGAGGATATAATTTGAAATCCTCATCTTCACTTTCAAGGCCCTGCATGGGCTTGCCTCCTCTTGCCTCTCTGACCTGCTAACCCCCTATCAACCTGCCCGCTCCCTCCATTCAGCAGCCTGCTCCATGTTTCCCGTCCGACCTGCCTTACCATCAGCAGCCAGGCTTTCAGCTTCTCTGCCCCCACCCTTTGGAAATCCATCCCACAATCTCTTTGCCTTGCTCCCTCCCTTATTTTCTTCAAGGTACGACTCAAGACTCTCCTTTTCAAACGTTCCTTCCGTCTCCCTCCAACCTCTTTGCCCTGTGTCATCCCAACCTTGTCCCTCCCATGCTCGGGTTCTGATCCCTGCCTATTCATCACCCTTGGGTCTTCCTCCCGACATAAAAGGCACTTAACAAATGTAATTTGTTCTTGTTTTATGGTTTTGTTTTGCTTTGTGCCACATACATTTCCTTGAGCAGCTGATCAATGGTATCAGCAGCCATTAATAACGTTTGATAAATATTTAAACTATTTCATTACAATTATTGTAACACCTATTTTAATTGAAACACTTTAAGTACATTTGTCTTCTTTGCTTTTGAAGCAGCTTTCTTTTTTTTATTAGAGCGAATGATTCATTTCCAAAATCCATCACAGTACAAGAAGATGGGATAATTACGCTGCCAAGGATGACTCCTGACCTTGACGGGTTGTACGTGTGTAAAGCCTCTAACAAAGTTGGCTCTGCTAAAGCTTTTCTATATCTGGATACAGGCAAGAACATTTTATTATGAATCTTTAGTGCCGGTATTCAGCGGCATCAATACCGCTAGAGTAAAGGGATTTTGTGCAGTTTTTGAATTTTTAATTGTGCCAGTATATTGATAAGGCAATAATCCTTGTATTGTAGTGATGGTTGAGTAATAAAATGCTCCGAAACGCTGCCCCGCATGATGGGCGCAATATAAATACAAGTTGTTGTCTTTGTTGTTGTAGTTGCTGCAGGTTTAGAGTTATATGACTCCAACATAACAAATCAGAAGCCTTTTTCCTTATAAGACTGAAGGTCATCTTAACATGCACAATATAGTGATAATTACCAGGGAGATTATTTGGGGGGTCTATAACCAATGTTTCCACAAGGAAATGGCACTGCGGGTGAGGCTGGAGGAGTCGTGTCAGAGGAGGGTCTCTCCAGAAGGAAGGCACACCTCAGCCACGTGTCTAGATGTCTCTGACTAAGGGCCATTTAGAATTTGTACAATGTCTCTAAGCATGCTAGGAACCTGACATCAATGTCAGGTCCAGAGAAAGGAGAAAAACCTGGGAGAGGATCACAATCAGGGCCAAAACTGTCAACATCAAACAAAGGTCCTGTGTTCAGGTTATAAAGAAATCTCAAAAGGATTTTATTTTTGGTCAGCCGGGTGTTGTGACACATGGGAAGTCTATCACCAACCTTAAGAATATCCAAATCAGTTATGCATATGGATGTCACCTACATACGAAAATCTTCCTGCATCTGGAATGGAATGAATGGTGGAGCATTGAACCCTAATTCCAGAGAATAATAGGCACAGGTTGGCAAGAGATAAGCCTTAGGGACACCAGAGTGTGCGTTGGTGCGTTGCTGGGATTTAACCTGCTCAAACAGCCACAGCTTGACATTGTGAGTACTGTCTGGCAAGCTTTCTGCTGCTTGTCCTTCTTGGACCAGTATACAAATTAGATCTTTGGCTTACAGTAGCTGACTGGGAAGAATCCCTGCCCCCAGTAACTGGTCTGCTCTTCCAAGACCTACTGATGAGCCAGGTTAGCTGGTCTGACATCAGCAGTGCCCTGCAGTACTGCAGATGCGACCAGCTCAGGATCTGGACTAATGAGATCAACACAGAGGATTGACATGTTTCTGACATCTCGGAGCCAGCTCAGCTCCAAAGAGATGCTGATAGCCAACCACCTCCCCCTAAGGAGGACATCGATAAAAGCAAACAGAATGTAGACAGTCCTCTCCTCAGCAATATTGATTCTTGATTCTTGGGACGTCCTCCCAACGTGAAAGACGCTATACATATGTCATTTTGTATGTATTGATCTAATTTTGAAAGTAAAGCAAGATATAGTTTCTATGGTCACTGGATAATTTTATTGCCAGTTTCTATTATCATAAAATGTTCATGTCGATGTTCCTAGGTTTAAACCCGAATGGAGTGCAAAGGTTCGATGAAATATTGTTGCATAAGCCACGTATTGTAGCAATGTCCACTCCAGCTGACCCCTCAAGCAGCAGCAACCTGGAGGAGGAGAAGGGCGTCACTGACATCCTTCCCCAGAAAAAGGATGAATAAGCAGAGATGAAAGAACATAAACTCACATCTTATCTTTATCAATCATATAATCACCTAAGTCATTCATCCACCCAAGTCCCATTCAGCTTTCTATCAAAGCCACTTAGACTTCTTTGCACTAGTCGTGTTTATCACCTTATAACTTGTAACACTGCTCTTCTGCTCTCCATTACTCCTGCATTTACCGGGAGCCTTGAATCGCGGGAAATCATGTCCTGTGTGTCATCCGTGTACGGCTGGCTGTACTGAATTGCGGGAAACATAGTCTTGATCCATCACTGCATACGCACTTACCGGCTGAAGTAACAAACCATCGCATGGCCACTTACCGGCTGGATGCACGTGACATTTCAAAAGAAAAGGTCTGTTTGTGTTAGAAGCGTTTCTGCCATTTGCTACGTAGAGGTTATGTTAGTAATTTACTGCATGATAGAATGATTACTATTATGATAGAATGTATAAGCAGTTGCAACACATTGAGATTTTTTCCAGAATTTGCAAACTTCGAGCCACTTCTGCCTTTCACTAATAGACATTTAGAGCTGGGAACAATATTTTATTGCCACTCCAAAAAATGCTTCATTGGAGTTGAGGAGACCATTACCAGCTCTTTGATAACATGAAAATATTTAACATTAATAACCTACCACAGAATTATAAAAGTTCTTTTGATTTGGCTGCAGTCAAAACCAAATTGATGTTTACAAGAGCAGTGCTTGAAAGCAATTAAAAAACATTTTAAACCAGATTTCTTTTTACAATTATTGTGGCTTTGACAATAAAAAATGAATTAATAGTAGCTGTGTAACATATATATAGATGTAAAATGCACTAGGAAAGTCTATAGTGTGATAAATCTTTTGAAATGCTTTTATTCCAGACAAATGTAAACAGCATCAACACCTTATGGTTTATATCATAATTGTTCCGCTCCTAATTGTGATAGCTGCTCTCAGCTTTGTTCTTCATAAGACAATTTCATCAACAAAAAATGGCACACCATTTCAACAGTAAGTATTTTTGTTTCAAATTCATGCACCACATCTATTAACTAGGTTACATTTTTTTCTACTAAGAAATCTAGAATGCACAAACCTGAAAGTTTTAACCATAGCAATATCACATTTCATCCAGCAAAAAACAAACCTAACTGTTTGACCAAACTGAAAATAAACAGTATTTCAAGGCTACGTTTATTTATGTGAACAATTAATGTTTTGTTTAGACAGATTTTTGCAATAAATTTAAATGTATTTAAATTTAAATTTTCATTTCGGTTTTGAGCATTTTATGCAGCCTCCTTTGATTTTTACAGTAGTTTAACAATTTGTCCCCCTGTTAAAGTAAAGAAACTTATATGTTCATTGCAACAATATAACGATTTCACATTAATTTCTTTCAGAGCTGAACCTTTACAGCAATGTGAAAATGGGAGAGAGAATGAGGTAAAAAAAAAGCTGGAAAATATGTAGCAAATCTGTTCGGTACCATATGTGTATAGTTTTCCAACAGCATAAAAACTACCTGTACATTCCAGACCCACAGCCATAAGCTATATACAGTTTTGATCTGTCTAACTACTTTAAATATAATATTACTAGCTGTACCCATTGCAGCTACGCTTGCAAAGTTTAATTTAATCAGCTTTCTCTCTTTCGACTGGGATTTTTATTTGTCCTTGAAATGCTTGATCTTCGCTTCTTAGACATCTTTATCCGTTAAGATTAAGAAAATGAGCTATTGAACTCGTTAGTATCCCTTCTTCACATATTTTCACACACATCGTTTTGGGAGGACTCTGTTGGGAGGACACAGTGGGACAACTCCTTTGGGAGAACTGTTGGAAGAACTAAGTGGGAAAACTCAGTGGGAGGACTCCTGTGGGAGGACTCCTGGTTGGGAGGACTCCTGACACACACACTCACAGACAGACATTTTGTCTATATAGTTGTATCTCACTAGAATGCTGTGTGACCCCTGTCGCTACTTTATTGCAGAATATCATGGTTACCTTTTTGGGGGCTGATTGAACCCTTTTTTTTAAATAACTCATCAATGATAGGAGATCCTCGAAAAAAATATTTGACCGTGACGCCTCTTCAATTCAAGACCTTTCCGATGATGTATAAATAATGTCTCTACATCAATCGGGTAATGAGTTCTTGGCGGATACACACATAGACAAACATTACATCTTTATTAATACAGATGATAGTGTTCATCTCCGTCCCATCATATTCATGGGATGCTGAACTATGCAGATGTGGGATAATATTCCAACTGGATTTACTCTACCAACATAGCAAGTCAGAGCATCCAGGATAAGGAAAATTGTTGAATTCCGTTTTCACTTTGAAACCTGCTTTGTGTAGTTCTTAAAAGAGCTTATTAGAAAAATGGCTTCCAAATGAAAGAATGTCTTTAAAAATGTGCTAAATTCTGAATCTGAGCGTTAGTAGATTAAATCTAGGTCCAGGGGGAATTTCCAATACTCCTCCAAATTATTATTTAAAACATATTTTACATTTATAATATTAACTTTTGAAAAGTAAATAATATTTATTCAGTAGTGAATATATTTGTTGGTTGTCAGTTGGTGTTCAATATTCCTAAATATTGGAAGAATAGAAAACAAGTACTCCATGGAATGGGACCGAACTTCCCAAGTGGGGAGCAGAAAGAGATATGGGTGTTGTTAACTCGTCTGATATGACTGGAACACGTTGCCAGGAGGGTAGTTGAGGCCAAGACACTGATCTCATTTAAAAAGCAGCTTGTTACTGGGCTGGGAGGATGGTATGGTGGGTGTTCTGGAAGGATGAGATTAGATAGGCTGAATGGGCTTCTTTATCCATACTAATCTTGTGATCTTGTGGTAAATGGAATAAAGAAAAGTCACAATCTGGGGGGTGGGGGGGAGTAGGGAACACCAGCACAGGCCAGAAAGCCCAAATGGTCTGTTTCCACCCCGCACTACATTTAAAGGCCTGGAGATCCGCAAAACACCAGTATTGCTCGCCAAGCTTGCCAATGTCCTGACTGCGGGCTCCAAGAAATCACCACCTCCTGTCTCTCGGGGCTGCTATTCACACAGTCACAGAGACCCTGAGATATTTACACACACTCAAAGACTGAGAGACACACAAACTCACAGACACAGGGAGACACACACTCACAGACAGAGACAGACAAACACACTCATGGACACAGAGAGAGAGACAGACACACACACACTCACAGACACAGAGATACACACTCACTTTGTCCACTTGTAAAGTATAGAAACTGATATGTTCATTGCAATGTGATTATTTTACATTGATTTCTTTCAGAGTTGAACCTTTACAGCAACGTGAAAATAGGAGAGAGAATGAGGTAAAAAAAAGCTGGAAAATATGTAACAAATCTGTTCAGTACTGAGCCTCAAACAGACCTTTGACAAGTGAACCAGGATACGTGTACAGTTTTTCCACATCATAAAACCTACCTGTACATTCCAGACCTACAAAATGGGTCTATACAGAGTTTTGATCTCTCTAAATACTTTTAAATATAATAAATATAATATTACTAGTTGTACCCGTTGCAAGCAGTTTAATTTATTCAGCTTTCTCTCTTTCGGCTGGCATTTTTATTTGTGCTTGAAAGGCTTGATCTTCACTTCTTAGACATCTTTATCTGTTAAGATTAAGAAAATGTGCTATTAAACTTGTTAGCAACCCTTGTTCACATATTTTCACACCCATCATTTTGGGAGGACTCAGTGGGAAGACTCAGTGGGAGGAATGCTGTGGGAGAACTGTTGGGAGAACTAATTAGGAAAATTTGGAACCCCATCTCACAGTTCCTTCGTCTCATTCCCTCTCTTGCCTCCTTCAAGGCATGTCTCAAGACCCTTCTCTTCGATCGCAGCTTTGGCCACCCTCCTACCCCCAAACTCCCTGCCCTCCACCCATCCTGATCCCAACCCCCACTCGGTTCCAAATCCCTGACTTTCCAGCTCCTTGGGACATCCTCCTTACATGAAAGGCAATTATTAGTTTCTTGTGTTACTCTTACCAACTGTCACACTAATATAACGCAATGACTTATATGACTTCAGGATAATGCAGTATTACTTTCAGATTTTATACATCAAATGCATGGATTATTATTACTATTATCAATTTTGATTGTAACTGTGCAGACTAGATGATAAGTGGGTAGATGAGGGAGCATGAGTGTGAAAGGCATGTGAAAATGAGTATGTGAGATAGAGCAGGGGTAGAAAAGAAAGATGTGTTAAAAGGGCAGAAGGATATTGTAGGCTGTTACTGGTTAAAATTAGTTGCCACATTTGTCTATGTAACAATCACTTCATTTCTAATTTGTTTTTGTAAAGCACTTTGAGATGTTCAAATGTAAATGAAATGAAAGACGTTATGTAAGTCCATGTTATTGCTTTGAACCTTAGGATGAAGATGTCCGAATTCTACCGGGTGAAATTGGATCATGGTCAAGGCAAGAATCAGAAGCATCCTCTGTCTGAAAGCTTGAAAACTAGGAGCATTTCTCTTCCTCAAAAAAATCATGCCTAAAACCTGAAAGCAGAAGAAAAAGCTTTGAAAGTACTATCGGAACAATTGGTTTCATCAATTACTGATCTAATCTCTATGTTGAATGCAAGTAATACAAATAAGAGGATATTACTAAAGTACCTGTAAATTATTAGGATAACTTCATGAGTTTATTACCATCTTGACTCATTTGGTAAAACTGTAATCTCTGGAACAGAAAGTTTGGATTTGAAGCCCAACATCAGGACATGAGCTCATAGTCTAGGTAACACTGCAGTACAATGCTGACAGATTCCTACATTGTCTGTGGCCTTTTCTTCCAATGTAACTTTAAACCGGGGTCCCATCTGACAGTTCTTTAGGTAGGTACTAAAGATCCTATTGATTTTTTTGAAAGGAGAATGGAGTTTTCTTTTTAAAGAATGGAATCCTGTAGTGCATTGGTTAGAGCACTCGCCTCACAAGCAAGAGGACATGAAATCGATTCCCAGGTAGGGTGAATTGTTAGGCAAGTTTCCTTACTCCACAAACCTCAGTTTAACTAGCAGTAAGTAGGAACCAGGCTGTTAGTCAATGAATCGCCATTTCGGGGCTAATAATCCCCTCCAAAAAGAAATGAATAAATAATAAATCAGTCACTCAATCCACAACTGTTTGTGGGACATTACTGTGTGCAATTGGCTGCCCATTCACTATGCAGTATATTCTATGACGTGCTTTGAGACGTCTCAGAGATGTGATAAGGTGCTATATTAAATGAAAGGATTATTATTTATATAAAATAAAATTATTATTAGTTTCTCCTAGTGTCTTAGCCAACATTTCCCGAGATAAAACTGAGCAATCACCACATGGCTATTTGTGAGATCTTGCGATATTAACCTATAAAATAGTCACCTTTCCTTGACAGTAACTATTTGTGAAGCTCTTTGAGATGTTACAGTTTTTTAAAAATCCAAAGATTTGCTTGCGTGAGTAGTAACGTGATAATCTAGTTTTAAATTTGACAGGACAGGTCCTTAGGATTATCACATTGTCTGCTCAATTTTAATGTCTTGATTTTGTGAAACGATCAGCACAATCTGCACTGCAATTTCACACCACAATTGGTCTAATTGTGCCTTTGTGTAATGGTATTTTGACCATTCTATCCTTCTCCACTTCCTTTCTTCTCAACTGCATTTTCACGGTTCTGTCTTTGCTGGGTTTCATTGTTACCCAGACCAACAGTTCCACTTCACATCTGCCAAGGGCATCTCCTTCCACTCCTGTCCCACGATGTCACATGCAGCGAACCTCAGGGCCCTGTTCTCTATCCTTTAATATTTACATGCTCCTGCTCGGTGATATTATCTGCAGGAATGGGGTTAACTAATGTAGATGACATGCAAAGTTAGATCTCACATAGGGAAAATAACACATGCTATATCAATCTTTGGAACGGGTCTATAGAATTTCACCATAAGGAAATTCAGTTACTTTCACAATTACTGGCAGAGAAATGGGTGACCTCTACATGAAAACTTGTCTTTGACCATCATTGATTTTAACTCTCTCCTTACATTGCGAAATAAAAATTGGTCAGTGACCAGACATCATAGAAAAACTACCCTCAGCATCAGTCTTTCATTATGATCCACAGATTATATAGTTAATACACTTAACAATATATTCTGTGAGTGCTTTGAAATGTCCTCCCAATGTGAAATAAACATATGAAGTGCAATGATTATTATTACAATCACAGAATCTTACAGCACAGGAGGAGGCCATTCTGCTCCTCATGCTAGCTCTTTGAAAGAGCTGTTCAACAAGTGCCGCTCTTTACCCCATAGCCCTGCTAATTTTTCCTTTTCAAGTACCTCACCAGGGACAAAGTGACTGAGCACTTGGACCAGTATGAACTATTCGAAGAGAGTCAGCATGGATTTGTGTAGGGTAGGTCATGTCTGATGAATCTAATTGGAAGTTTTTGAGGAGATCACTAGCATGGTGGATAAGAGATTGTCTATGGATGTCATCTGCATGGACTTCCAGAAGGCATTTGACAAGGTTCCATACAAGTGGTTATTAGCAAAATTAAAGGGATGGAATCGGAGGTAACCTTGTGACGTGGCTTGGTAATTGGTTGGGAGGCAGGAAACAGAGAGTAGAGATAAAGGAATGTTCTCTGATTGGCGGGACGTGACAAGTGGTGTTCCCCAGGGGTCTGTACTGGGGTCTCAGCTTTTCACCATATATATGAATGACTTGGATGAAGGAATAGAGAGTTTTATATCCAAATTTGCAGATGACACAAAGTTAGGCCCAGTAAATTGTGTAGAAGGAAGCAGAAAGATACAAAGGGACTTAGATAGATTAAGTGATTGGAAAAAACTCTGGCAGATGGAATTCAATGTGGGGAAGTTTGAGGTCATCCACTACAGATCCAAAAATAGCAAAACAGAATATTTTCTAAATCGTGAGAAACTAAGAACTGTGAAAGAGCAAAGGGTTTTGGGTGTCGATGTGCACAATTCACTGAAAATAAGCTCACAGTTACAAAACGTTATCAAAAAGGTTAATGGGATGTTGGCCTTTATCTCAAGGGGGCTGGAATATAAAGGAGAGGAAATGAAGCTTCAGATACATAGAGCCTTGGTCAGACCCCATCTGCAGTACTGCGTTCAATTTTGGGCACCGCACCTCATGAAGGGAGAGCGCGAGGCAGAGGAACTGTGGGATGGAGTTCCAGAGGATGGGCGTGGAGAGGCAGAAGGCTCGTCCATCAAAGGCGGAGTGGGCAAGGTGGGGAATGCAAAGTGGGCCGGAGCCCACTGAGTGGAGGGAATTGACAGGTCGTTAAAGGGTTAGGAGGTCACAGAGATAAGGAGGAGCAAGGCCATGGAGGGTTTGAAGGTGATGATCAAGATCTTGAACTGTATCCTCTGAGTGATGGGGAGCTGGGCGAGAATGGCTGTGATAAGGTCGCAGAGCCTGGTGCGGGGGAGGTCACAGGCTGCCGAGTTCTGGATGATCTGCAGCCTGTGGAAGGAGGAGATGGGGAGGCTGACAAGCAGAGAGTTTGCGTAGTCAAGCCTGGATGTTATGAATGCGTGGATGAGGATCTCGGTGGCCTGCAGCGAGAGACACTGGTGGAGCCGGGAAATGTTGCAGAGATGGGGAAAGGCAGAGCGGGTCATGGCACAGATGTGAGGGATAAAGGAAATTTGAGGGTTGAATTGGACGCTGAGGTTCGGTATCGGCTCAGTGAGTGCATCCATAAAGGATGAATCTGTCAGCGCCTGAGGTATGAAGTTGCTAACAGGAGCCAAGCAAAAGGGTTTCAGTCTTGTTGACATTCAACTGGAGAAAGGTAGCTCTCATCCAGGACTTGATGTCCAACAGGCAGTCTGTGAGGACATCAGTCTTCTGGTATCGAGGGTAGAGGCGGAGAGGATGAGTGAGTTCACATTAATTCACAGATCTAGAACACCCCATGCTGTACAAAACATTGTTGTGAATGATAGGCGGCAGAAGAAATGGTTGTAGCCAGCTAATCTTTGAGTAGAGAGTGCTACTGACCATATGCTGACTGCTGTCTTGGCTGACACTCCAATACAATTTTGAGGAGCACTATATTGTTGGATCTGCCATCCCTCAGATGAGAGGTTAAACCGAGGTTCTGTTTGCCCTGGTCAGGTGGATGTTAAAAAATTTATGTTACTAATCAAAAAAAGAAGCAAGTTTCTCCTGTTGTCCTTGCCATCAACCTCCCTAATAAAAATTGATCATTCACTTCAGAGCTGTTTGTGGAGCATTGCTATGTTGAAATTGACTGCCACTGTTACTTATAAATACAGTCACTACAATTCACAGTAAAATCCTGTGAAGTGTTTTGAGATGTTTCGACATAGGGCATTATACTAAATGTAAGGATTATTATTATAACATATAAAACAGTTGCATTAGAGATGGCATTTAACTCCAGCTGCAAATGGCAGTAAAAGAATCATAGATGTGTTATTTACCAACCATGTCTAGTAGGTCAGATTCTGTTATTTCATTGGGGGAAGAGGGAAAGAGATAAGGCAAGTTCTGATCCAAGAAGACAGGCCTGTGACTTATCAAAATATTACAAACTTTGTTTTGCTGTAAGTGCATGAACACTATGGTAATAACAACAACTTGCATTGATATGGTGGACCATGTAGAATAACAGGGCAAAACCTTGGGCAAGTTTTGTTACTCCACACAGACGCTTCTGTTTACCTAGGAGTAAGTAGATACCTGGCTATTAGTCGATTGTCAGATCACTTTTCCAGGGGTAATAATCCCTCCAAAAATATATATATTAATAATTTGGTCACTCAATCCACAACTGTTTGTGGGACACTGCTGTGCGCAATTGGCTGCTGTGTTTCGCCCACAAAATCTACAGTCAATTTACTTTACAATATATTCTGTGAAGCGCTTTGAGACATCTTGAAGACGTGATAAGGTGCTATGTCAAATGCAAGGATTAATATTATTGTTATAACGTCTCAGAAAGTGACTGAAACAGGCACCAAGCAACAACAACAACAAATGACATTTGTGCAGCGCCTTTCACGTCAGGAGGACATCCAAAGAGCTGGACAGTCAGGGATCTGCACCCGAGCTGGTAGTTGGGATCAGGAGGGATGGAGAGCGTGGGGGGTAGGAGTAGGAGGGTGACCGATGGCACGGTCGAAGAGGAGTGTCTTGAGATGGATCTAGAACGAGGCAAGGGAGGGGGTGAGGTGGATGAACGGTGGGATGGCATTCCAGAGGGTGGGGGCAGAGAAGCTGAAGGCCCAGCTGCCAATAGTGGGGCAGACAAGGCGGGGAATGTGAAGCAGGCCGGAGCCCGCTGAGCGGATGAGGCAGACAGGGTTGGTAGGGGTTTAGCAGGTCGGAGAGGGCACTGATTGTCCAGCATCTTAGTATGTCCTCCCGACATGAAAGGTGCTAAACAAATGGAATTTTGTTGGTGGTGTTGTTGAAGGTGAGAACCAGCATCTTGAACTGT